TGGTCTTCTCTATTGATCTAATTTATTCCTCCATAGCACTCCACCAACTTTTGTCTATCTTTGCTTATTCAAACGTGAGAGGTCCAACCTCTGCAACAAGAGCAAAATGCATCAAATTGCCTTCTATGGAGACCAAAAACTCATGTCCAAGATCATAATCCTGGAGATGTGTCGGTGGCTGCCTGAGACGAGATGAACGCCTTATCACCTCCTCCTGATCACTACATTCATCCTCATTTGATCCTGACTCATCAACAAGTAACATTTTTTATTGTGCTTTATCGGGCACAAGCTGCTCCAGCTCCATTCGGCTGTTTCATCAATAACAACATCTCTACTTATACTCACTTGCCTAGACTTTGGATAAAAAAGCCTGTAACCTCCAATTGAATGATACCCTACTAGCACATGTGGTATAACTTTATCATCCAACTTCTACCTCTACTGATCAGGTACATGTTTCCAGCATAAAGACCTAAAAATTCTGAGATGGGTTATGCTAGTTTTACACTTGTCCAAGCTTCCACAGGAGTCAACTCCTTCAATCTCTTAGTGGGACTCTTATTCATCACATAAGAAGTTCTGACAACTTAACCCATAGGTATTGAGGCAGATTTTTGTAGCGTAGGATGCACCATACCATGTTCATCAAACTTCTATTTTTCCTTTCGGCACAACCATTGTGTTGGGGCGTATAAGGTGGTGTGACTTGATGTTCCAACCCTTCCTCCTCGCAGAATTTCATGAAGTCACTAGAGACATACTCTTCACCTCCATCCGTTCGTAGCATCTTCAGCCTCATTCCACTCTGCTTCTCAACAATTCTCTTGAACTTTCGAAAAACATCAAACACCTCACTTTTTCTTTTGATAGGATAAACCCAAGTTTTCCTTGTGGCATCATCAATGAAATTATAGAAGTACTTGTTACCTCTAGGTGTCTCAACTTACATGGGACCACACACATCAAAATAAAAAAGTCTCAACTTCTCACTAGTTTTCAAAGACACTGCATTGTTGAAACTCAAACGAGTTTGCTTGCACGTCACACATTCCCTACATACCTCTTCTAGAATATTGATCTTAGGAAGTCCAGAAACAACTTGATTGTTTTCTAGCTGATGTAAATCTCTGAAGTTTAAATGACAAAATCGTTGATGCCACACCCATTCAATTTTTCCCTCTGACGCAGAGAAACACTGATGTTTCAGCGTCTTCATTCCAACCTGAAAATTCCAATTTTCTGACAACTTGGCATGTATCACAACCCTCTTATTTTGATCAAATACACTCAAACAGTTATCCTCCATCTTCATTGTGAAACGTTTCTCAAGAAGTTGTCCAAGACTCATCAAATTGGTCTTCAAACCAGGCACGTACAACACGTTCTCCACCACGATTTTTCTTCCATTAAGATCCCTCAATACAACTCTTCCAACTTCTTCTGCTGTCAGTTGCTATTATCAACAAACTTGATTCTTCCATGTGATAATGATTCTTACATTTTTACAAATCAATCCTTTCTCCCGGTCATATGAGTTAAGCATCATGAATCAAGATACCAGGAAGATTCGTCATTGCCAACTGCATCAGGTTGTGCCATCAACGTTACAGGTTTAGAATCAGACGTTTCTTCTTCTTCTTCTTCAGTAAGATGTGCTCGACTCTTCTTGCCCTTCACTTCATCACCATTTTGGCATTCATGAGCAAAGTGCCTCATCTGCTGGAATTTATAACACCTCACCTTTCTTTTATCAAACTTCCACTCTTTCTCTTCATTTCCAGATGAAGATTCTTCCTGATTATCCTCCTTGGATGTACTTGTTGATTTCAACTTTCCTTTACCAATCACAAATTTTTTGTCTGTCTTCTGGCCAAATCTTTTATTTTTGTCTTTATAGTCAGTTCTTGCTTGAAGGGTCAGTTCTTTAACTCTCTTTCTTTCATTAATTATAGACTCGTGAGCTTTAAGCAAATGTTTTAGGTCTTCTAAATTCATTGAATCAAGATCACGCGTTTCTTCAATTGTAACCACCAAGTGATCAAATCGGTCAGGTAGAGTTCTCAATAGTTTGTCAACCACTGATTGATCTGTGATAGAATCCTTGCATGTCCGCATGACATTAACATGTTCCTGAACTTTGTCAAAATATTTTGCAACAGACTCATTTTCCTCCATCATTAGAAGCTTAAATTTTCTTCCTAACGTTTGCAGTCTCATCTTCTTATTCTTGTCAAGACATATGTCGTCATCTCCATATGTCTTGACAAGAATCTCCCATGCTTCCTTAGCAGTAGTTGCCCTTGATATCTTGTTAAAGATTCTCGAGCTTACACATTGGTACAACAGAAACTTGGTCTTACTATTGAGCTTTTGTTGATTCTTGTAATTCTTTCTTTCTTCTTCACTAACTTTCTTCCCAGGATCTTCAAGACCACTTATTATTACATCTAAGACATCTTGAAATCCGAATATGACCATCATCTTGATGCTCCAATCATTAAACATCTTCCCATTGAAAGTGGGTAGAGCCCCTTGGATGATACTACCATAAGGGAACACAAAACTCATACAAAGAATTATTTTAATAAGAATGATATTACACTTATTTATAACAAGTGACATAACTTAATATAGCTAGTCAACGGTAACATATAAAAACTGACACAACAGTACCACTAAAAAATAACCTATCTTTGGCTTACTTCTTAACAAATTTAGGTGACATTTTTGTAATCTAATATAATAATAATTCATAGTTAGATCATTATTTAATGATGAGATCTGTATCTTAATTTTTGTCATTGTAACACGCTTTAGAATAATGAAAACTTCTTATGATTGAATAATAAAAAGAATCAATTTTGTTTGAATAAATCAAACTTTATTCCTCAATTTAAAGGTTTAAAATGTTTTATTAAAAAATATAAACTCAAAAATATAATATATATATATATATATATATATATATTCATATGAATTATTATTCTAATTTTTTTAAACGATAGGATAATTTAAAAAAAATCAAAACTTACCTTATTACAAATATTCTTACTAGATTATCTTTTGAGAAGGAAATTATGAAATGAAAATTCCAATGTATATTGATTGGAGGAAATAAAATATCAAGATGATAAGGATATTAATAAAATATTAAAATAATATTTATTCTTAACTATGTAATATAATCTTAAAACGAAAAGAATGCTTATTTTAATATTATTTAGTGTATCCATAATGTAAGATTATCTTATTTACAATATATTAATTTTCATGTTATTATTAAATTAATAAGAATTTATATATGGAAAAAATCTCTATTTATATCATCTACTGTCGAAAGCTGGCTAAGTAACGTGGAAATATGGTTGTTAGAGAATTAAATTTTCCGAGAATCCATTAGAAAATATTCCATATTTGATTCCTCTGTAATGTCACTAAGATTTAGGTTATTAATTTATTATTACAGTGACATATTTCTATTCAAATTGATTATTAGATATTCTGGATGTTCAACCAAATCACCTTTGACAGGCCATACGTGACATCCACGGGTTGCAATTAACAAATTATTCCGCCTTTGCGTGCTTGCTCTTCACAGTACTAATTAAAGTGCTTGATTTTGTTTTTTTTTTAATGGATTTCATCGTTTTACATCATCATAAGAAACTGATACAACTTTTTGACAAGTTTTGCTGAATGTAAGATTCTTATAAATAATTCATATTTTAATAACTTTTTATTTACACTTCATTTTTTGACAACTTTTGAATTATTGTAATTATTTTTTTATTCTTTAAAAGCTGGTTCTTATTTCTAAGACCCTTTATATGCTAACTCAACAAGTTGCAACGAGAAGTTCTTAATAAAAACTGTAACTTATAATAAGAACCTATATTATTAGAGTTACTATACTAGTATAAGATTTGTGTCTTCAACTCCTTTATTTTGTGTTAGTTTAATAGAGATAAAGGGGGAAAAATAGAGAAGATTAAAATATTATAGTTTTATTATTGATTTTAGAGAAGACATAAAAAAATGATTTTATTTTATTTTTTGAAAAAGGACTGGTAAAAAGACAAGAAAGAGATGCAAGTATCTTTATCATTCCATAATATTCCATATTTGATTCCTCCTATGCTTGAATGAGTTATCATTATTGCAAAGCATATTCGTCTTCAATTTGTTCAGATACTTTATGCTAACTAAGCAAATAAAAGAGACAAAATGTTTAGTAGATGAATATGGTGAGAAAGGTAGGTGACAAGGACGTCGTGCTGTTATGAAATGAAAGCCTCGTTACTTGGACTTACAAACTAAACCAACATTCTCACCAAACAAAGAGGGGTAGAGCTTATTTGGGCACAAGGCAAGACGAGAGAAAATTTCAAAATAAAACAAACCTCGTTTGGTGTAATTGATTCAGGTTAATGGGCTCTGTAGCGATGCTCGATTGGTGTATACCTCCAAAAGACACACCCTACCCAACGATATTATAGCATCCACGTGGATGATATTCTCTTTGGATATTTTACATCATCAATGATAACTAGCACTTAAAAGATACCAAAATTTCCACCACCCATTGAAGATTGTTCGGATGATATCTGAGTTTCTATTATTATCCTCTTACCAGTTATGTAGTCTTAGTATAGAGTTCTATGGTAGAGAATTTCGTTGCACCATACACCACCGACAAGTCAATAAGGAAATTGCTCTGAAGAAATGAACTAACCAATGACAAATGAGAAAGATTGAGTTTGAATACACAGAAATGATTATCTATTACAAGAAAAATCGTAAAAAGTCATAATTAGGGTCAAAAGTTTCACCGTACTACTACTGTATAATATAATATCTTATTCACCTATTATGTATGTACTGAAAGTGATGAAGACTTAAAAAAAGGGCAAGACACTAGGGACCCCAGACTGCAACCACCTCCTGTCTTATTTTTAATTTTCATTTCAGAGTTGGGCATCAATTTGCAACTCACGCGCTTAAGAAAGCGCAGGGGTAACAACCCTAAGCTTTCTCCTTTCTCCAACCTGCATCCTGACGTAGAAGTTGAGAAAGAGCAAGAGAAGAGCCACGTTGAGGACGCCGTTGAAGACCCACGCGCCAATCCCGTTGCACCCGCCTTTGAAGAAAAAGTGGAGGAAGAAGACGCCGACGTGGCACGCCACATTGCAAGCGAGGAGTACAATCTGGCAATTGAGGACGAAGGGGAAGCACGCGCCGCGCAAGCCTATGGCAGTCCAGAACCTGTAGGCGTAAACGAGGGCGTAGACGAGGGTGGCGAAGAGGATTGCGAGTACCTGAAAGGACTGGGAGAACTCGAGCCAGAGGAAGGAACCGAAAGCGGAGATGGAGTGGTTCAAGAGGGGGAAAAACGACAACCTGCGGCGTCGTAGGATGTTCAGAGGGGTGCGGAACATGTGAAGGAAGCGGGAGAGGTAGTAGACGTAGGACCAGAAGAAGACGCGGCCGGAGGGGCGGGTTCCGAGAGGGAAGCAGAGGAGCCACTCCAAGGGAGTTTTGGACCGCCGCCAGAACCACCGCGTGTCGCGGATCTCGGCCGTGGCCGAGATTAGGATTCCGGCGAAGATCGTGACGGAGATGAGCGACATGGAGAGGCTATGGATTGCCGGGAGGGGGCCGAGGGGGATGGGACGGCGGCGGCGGAAAAGAGAAAGCGAGAGGTGAAGGAATAGAGAGAGGAGGAGGTAAGAGGCGATGGAGGAGAAGAGGAAGGACCAGGTGGCGCCCCATGATTGGGCGTGGCTCCACCGGAACCCCACGATGGAGGGATGCTCCGAGAGGTAATGGATTAGGGGTGGTGGTGCCTTCTGCATCGTGAACGGCGCTTTCACATGACGGCGTCGTTTCAATTCGTCGGAACTTAGAAAAGGTTGGACTCCTAAATAAAAGAGATTGGAAAGAAAGAAATTTACAATAGATAGAAGACTGAGACTCTGCAGATAATTAAAATGAGGAAAAGTATTAACTGATGACGTGGCACTTTATCATTGGAGATGAATGTGAAAGTTGAAGAGAACGTTTCGCACGTGCACTAAAAAATTATTTTTTACTTACACAATTTGCCTCTACTTTTATTTTTATAATATTTTTCACTTCACCTTGCCTTTCTCCTTTTTTTTTTTATTAGTTTTTTTTCATTCACGCACGACTGATATGTTAGTATTTTAACCAACAAAATTTTTATCCACCTCTTGAATATTTAAAACGTGTAATGATTACATAAATTATTTTATTAGTAAATTATAATATTTAAAAATTAATTTGAATCTAAATGATATTTTTTAAATATTTAATAAGTTTTATTTTTTATATATTTTGAGAATATATTTTACTTTTTCAATGACTAAACTAGATTTATTTGTTTGTTTATATGTAAATTAAAAGTTTGGTTATGTTTGATGGAAAGTTAATAAATTGAAAAATATTCTTCCTTTACGTAATAATAAAAATTATATGAAAAAATTGATTTAAGCTTCTATTGATATAAGAACTAACTGTGGTAGTTTGTCTCCATGAAGGCACCTGAATTGATTCATTTGTGATTAATAAGGTTTTTCTAGGTCATGTTATTTGCAATTATTATTTTTTTTAAGCATTTTAATTAAGAAGACATTTGATATAAGGGATTTTTTTTTATTATGTTTAAGAATTCTTTAGAAATTATAAATTTGGGATATTATAATTTTAGAAAATAATTAAATATGTTTGACTTGTTATATATACTATTGAGAATATTTATATAAAAGTTTCATTTAATTTTTTTTACAGAGACTAGGATATGGAACACTTTTTTTTTCAATTTTGAAAAAATAGGTGTAAAAGTTTCTATTTTGTATTTTTATTTTAATATCATAACAAATGCACACATGTAAGTTAATTAAAGATTAGATAAAAGTAAGGATGAAATTAATAAAAAAATTAATGTTATATTGGTATTTAAAATTATACTTAAGTAGAAATAATTATTTAGATTTAGCCATTGAAAAAAACATAATATTTCTATGTTTTTACCTGAAAACAAAAGTTAGGTTTCTACATCTCATTAGAACATTTTTTTTTCTGGAAAATATTGTTTTTTTTAATATAAACCAAACAGAGAAAAAAAAAAGAGCATCCTCTTATTGATAACTTAAATTTTTTCTCAAACAAAGAGGTTCGCTAAAGATAACTGTGAATCGATTGAAGTTAATAAAATCGTATCTTTAAATGTATTATTTTGATAACGGTTGATTTGATTTGTATAATTATATGAAAAAAATATAATTTTTTAAAACGATTATTACTCTATATTTCATCTGTATTTCTAAATATTATTACGGCTCATAATTACGATTTTTGGAAATTATAAATCTTGAAAATTTTGATTATGAGTAATAATTAAAATTTATTTCTTTCGTTAAAAAATATATTTCTTTAACCAAATAATAATTGGATATTTTTCACAACAAACCTTATGATTTATCACATTAAATGATGCAATACAGTAACATAACATTTTTTATATTGTAAGATACTTTTTAAACTAAAAAAAGAAAAGTTAGATTCTCAATTTTCATTCGATCAAAATTTGTAGAAAATATAATTTTTCTTATCCGACAAGATCCACGTGAGGTTCGATATGCAAGAAATAAGAAATCGATAGATTAAATTTTGAATTATAATTTTAAAGTGAATTATTATTACCTTCTAGGTTATATTAAAAAAAAATACTCAATGAGTGACTAAATCTTATATTATTATTTAAGACTTAAAAGAGAGTATATTGTAATTTTAAAGTGAATTATTATTACCTTCTAGGTTATATAAAAAAGATTTAATGAGTGACTAAATCTTATATTATTATTCTTTCTTAAATATAAGACTTAAAGAGAGTATATTTTACAAGTGAGTCTTTATTTATATATATATATATAAAAAAAAACTATTTTCAACCACATTAAAATTACAATTTAAAACTGATAAATTTAATACAATATCACATATCACGAGTCTCATAATAGCAACAAATATAATTTTCTAAAAATAACATTTAAAAGAAATAAACTAATCATAGAAAAACAAAATTCCTAATTTCAAATTGTCAACAAACTTATATTTTTTTTTTCTTAGGAGAGCGCGCTGAGAATAATCATGAATCCATGAGTTTTGACAAAGTTATTATATCTTTTATAAATGATTTTGATCACTATTTATATAATTATATTAAAAATTATGCAAATTTGTGTTAACACAAAGGATGCTCAAGTGTTCTGTTAATATATAATAAAAAAAAATGAAACTTTGTAGGAACTTAAAAAAAGAAGGATATTAAATGGAATTTTATAATGTAATTACAATTGATCATTAGAATAATTATTGTAAGAGCTCACTATTCTACAACGACAACCAATAAAAGTAGTAAAAAGAAAGTAAGAATAGTTAAAATGATTTTAGTCAGTGTTAAATTAAATTTTATATTAATCATAACTCTATATGATGTGGTGGTATGGTATAAAAATCTCTACCTACTTGTGGACGTGTATGCATGTTAGCCACATAGGCCCTTCGAACGTGTTATGAATTATATTGCTTTTGTTTTGTCCTGCGCAAGAGAAGATAAAGTTGTCCCATTTATGTGAGTAGTTTAATTCTCTTGTGGAAATGCCAAAATTGGCTTATTTTCTTTACGTAAAGAACCTGAAAGAAGTATTTAATCACTTATGTCGCCTTATTGTGTAGTTGTAACAGAACCTGATACAGTAACACTGATTTGATGTGCGATTCACTGTTAGCTTTTTACTCAATGATTTTTCGTCCTACCAAAAACTATTATTATTATTATAATATATATACTCATATATAGACACAAAAACGCACGTGTTTTTCTGCTGGCATATATTTAATTTTATAATAATAGTTTAAAAGTAACGTCAATAAAATACTGTGTTAAGTGGCTGAAAATAAAATTGGAACTTGAAATTTAGATTCAAAACACTTGTTCATACTTGAGTGTGAGTATATTTTTCAAATATCAACATTAAAAAAATTACATTATTTTTAAAATTGACTATTAAGTTATTAATATTTTTTTAAAATTGATCTCCAAAACCAACGAGGAGACGACTCTACCCTCTCGTCTAAGCCCAATTTCCTCCGCCAAGCCCATAAAACTCCCAGTCCCCATATTCCTCAGCTTCTGCTTTTTATTTAACCTAAATGTTTGGGTTAACAAACATTTAATACCAAATCACGTAATTCATTAATTTCCAAGATTATGCTAAATATATAATTATAAGACATAAACGAATTAAGATGAAATTCAATTATTTGATTATTATAAATATTATTTAAATTTAAATTATAATATTTGTTTTCAAATTAAATTTTCAGGAGGTATTATGAGTACATTATTTATTTATTTGTTTTTGATAATTAAAATTTAATATTAGAAAAATAAAAATTAAATTTCAAACTTTTAAATTTTTAAATTTTTTAAAATACAAAATTTCAGAAATAATATAAACATGTTATTGAAAGTATAAAATAGTGAATGCAATATATTTAGTAATTTTAATTTATTAATTGTTTTTAAAAATATTATAAATATTTTATTTATCAGACCTATATTATATCTACCGGTATTTATTGATTATTTTTTAACATATTCGTACTGTTTATTAAATCGTAACTACTAATTATTTTCATTGATATAAAAAAGACTGAAATACTTAAAAAAATACTTTAATTGTAATTTTCAAATATAGAAAAATCGAAATATATGAAAACAAAAACGTTTCTCTACTTTAAAAATATTACAATTTTAATTCTCCATACATATAATTTTTTTTTTAAAAACATCGAATATTTGTTAATTATTAAGAAATATTTAATTGTATTTTTTGTATTTAAAAATATATTTTAGTTATATTTTAATATTAACAGAAAAAAAGTTTAAGTATATTGTTATGATAATTCAATTTAAGTAAGTTAAGAATAAGATTAATTTAGTGAGATAAAATTTATAATTTTACTAATTAAATTAAAAAAAATATAAATAAAAAAACTTAATTATTTTAATTTCATTTTTATAAAATTACTATATGTTTACAATTCTCTTTCCTTTTATTTTTTCTAACTTTTTCACTTTTTTTCTAGACATTTTTTCAAATCAAAACCCGTTTAGTATCAAATAGATATTTTTATCTTAGTAGAGTTTTAGATGGAGTCATTTTCTTTTCTTATCTAATTTTAGTACATTTATGCATGTTAAGGATTTGGGTTCCACGTGAGACCGTGTTGCTAATATATAAATTAATAAATCTTACTTATTCCAAGAATATTGTATTATATTTCTTTTCTTAATTGGGTAGAATTCGACTTTTTATGATTATTAGGAACTTTTAAAAATCTTGTAAATGTGAGAAGTGTATTGGTATTTTGTGAATTATCTAAATAATGTAATTTTGAACTAATAGTTTAGTTCAGGTGTTTTATTCTATTATTTTTAGAATGTAATAATAATAATAATAATGTATTTATACTATTAAGTATATTAAGTATTTTAATAGTAGGATCACAAAACGAGTCAATATATTTGGTTTTGTTTCATTTTCTCTCTAACTTATGAGAAACAAGATGGAACTAGTTAACATACAATAATTTAAATTAGTTATAAATTTCAATCCATCCTATTAAAGATATGTTGATAGGTAAATAGATCAACTTATTAATAAATTTTTTTACTTATATGTAATTTTTTTTAAATATACCTTTAATTATAAGAATAATTTTAAATTTTTATTTATTAATTAATATTTTATTAGATAAAGTGAAT